CAACGGTGAACGGCCATCGCCAATGACGTCATCGATTTCACTTTGTACTTTGAACTGCACATCCGGGTAATACGTCAGGAAAGCAACAGCCCAATCTAATGAAGATATCGTGGTATCCAGACCAGCTAAAATGTAATTAATTAGAAATGTATATTGTATACTCGTAAGTTGACCCAACTATGAAACTCTCCTAGTTTCAGAGTAAACGAATTACGAGAAACACAATCTTCTGTGAATGGCTCTGACATATTGTTCTGCAATCGATATACACAAGACTGTAATCTATATTTAACTAACATTTATTTAGTTCTATTTCTGTTAAACTTTTAATAGTCCAGAAATGAATGTCACAGCTTGGTGTAAACAATTATAAAATATAAATTGTTATATTTGTAACGTTTTGTTAATAATAGAATGAAACGTACCTCCAACTAGATCGGCAAGGGTCTGACGTAGATTAACGTCTGTAAGTTGCTTGGCAATGTTCTCTCCGGCCAACTCTGCTTTACGCTGAATTGATACGAGATCGTCGATGAGACTTTTCACGTCATTATTACCTGAGTATATTGTAACAATATGATATTATTTGTAGTAGAACAATTTAGTAATACTATATCTAGAGTCATTGCTTATATTCCCTAGAAAAATAAATTGAAAGCAATTGTGACAAACAAACCAACGCTGAAATGAGGGCCCGATAATCACCAATGACTAGGATTGTGAAATAATCCATTGTACGGAATTAACAAATAAAAAGAAAAAAGAAAATGGTCTTTGAACTGAAAAGATTAGTACGCAACATTTTCCACGACTTTACATACATCTTGTTGAATCACGTCAATTGTCCCCAACGCACACACAATTCATGAAACCAGAAATAAGACTATTCACTTTGTGTATTACCTGGGAATATTGTATCATTACGCAAATTTGTTGGAAAGCAATAATCTATGTGTTCACGGAATAATTCCTTCCAAAGTGTTGACCCTGTTTATTGATATCACGCAGAATCAGCCTGAAAACATGACCTTGGTAGTATTGCAGGATGTTTTGACTCCTCGGGAATCAAAGCAAGATTATGCCGTCCTTCTACCTGTAGTATGCCATCTTCTCCTACAATGGGAACCAATTTGCAGATTGTACCCTTAGGTTTGTGTGACCTTTCGCCACTACTGTTTGCAGCCTTGTAGACATCCAGCTTCTTATCAAACATAGACCACCTGAACACTTGAAAATGTATCACATTTTCCCCATCCATATTTCCACCTCTGGTCTTCTGTAAGAGGTATTTCTCTACCTTTGGAATCCATGCAACAGCTTTTTTCAGACTGTACCAACTTGAGTAGTGCTCAATAAGGTCATTCACCGGACTCTGCAAATTATCTATTTATCTTGTGTACACTGGAATTCTATTTCACTCCTGGATCATCTTAGTCTAATGGTACATCACAAGGGTTATTTGGCCATTCCTGCTTTGTTTTCCGTAAGAACTCTAGGCCTCTGAGCCATCGCTTGTTCTTCAATTGGCTGCCCTCTTGAGCACTTATCTGCAGGATTGTCGTTGGTAC